GGGATATGAAGTACTTGATCCCCAGCAGATGCTCAGCTTGTGTGTGTGTGTGTGAGAGGGAGAGAGAGAGAGAGAGATGGTAGTGTCCAGGCAAGATTCGGAGTATAGGGTCAAGGACATTCACTTCCATTTGAATTAGAATGTGTTAAAGTTACTTTCAGAGCAACTCCCCAAGCGGACCACAACTTGGGGTGTGGGCCCTGGACACGGTGCAGTTATGTGTCTGGGAGTTGTGTTGTATCTGTGGTAGCTAAAATCAGACTTTAGTATAATTGCCTAGAGCTGTTCAGAAAATAGAAATGTAAGAGGAGCCCTAGGGACCGCAGGTGGGGAAGAGTTGCCAGGGAAGGAGACTGAAAGAGACGCAGGGAGAAAACAAGCAAATGCAGCATCACAGAAATCAGGTTGAAAAAAAAATGGATAGAAAATAAACATAAGCTTAAACATGTAATCGGAACTTAATAGCTGGTTGCCTGGAAATGAAAAAGAAATAAAGGCATCTCACTGGCATAGTATATTCCTTTTAAAATATGTCTGAAGCATACTTATTTTTTCCAGAAGTACATCCACACCCTTTAGTATATGAGTATAGATTAGTCTAGCAAAATAGCAACAACTGAGCTCACAATGTAAATAATATCACTGCTGTTTAGTGGAACTGTCCCCCTCTCCGGGGATAAGTGAATTCTCTCAAATTTCTGCTCATCAGTCAAAATTTTACATTCAATTGAGTGTTCATTCTGAGTTTAAAATGACTCTGTGGCTGTGAATGCCTAGAAAGTTGTGCTTTGGTAAATTGAAAATAATTTTTCTGAAGTGATGGGCTAATTTGAAATCTATAGTTTTTTCCCTTGTTTTGATTGTTGCAGCCTCCGTTGAGAGGCTTATTCCTCTGAGCAGAAGTGTCCTGCTCCAGTGGGGCTGGGGGGCAGGGTGAGAGCCAGGGGCCCTAAAACTAGTCATTAGAGACTGGGTGTGGGCGCTCAGTAGGGCTCATTGGATGTTTTGTGAATGAATGACGATGTAGTATTGTCCCTCCTAAATATTAATCACATCTCAAAGGTGTTGATATTCAATTAAAAAGAAAACATTTAAAAACTCTTCACTGAATATTAGAGATTAAAGTACTGCCCCTCAAGAAAATAATAATGATGA